TCCCACCTGGGGACCTCCCACCTGGGGACCCCCACGCTTGGGGAACTCCCACCGGGGACCTCCCCACCTGGGGGATCCCCCATGTAGGACCCCCCACGTGGAAACCCCCCCAACCCCACCCCCCACCTGGGCCCACCTGTGCCAGGTACGAGGGGCTGTAAAGCCCCCCCGCCCACCCCCCCAATGCCACCCGGTCCCGGGGGTGTCCCGGGGGGTCTCCCGGGGGTCCCGTCACCGTGTTCTCGTTGCAGCCGTGCGGGGCGCAGGGCCGGGCTGGGGGGGCTGCGGGGGCCCCCCTGGCCCGACCCCTGCCCCTGCCCCCGCCGGAGCCCAAAGCCCCCAGCGGCCCCCCGGGCGGAGCCCCCGCCGCACCCCGTAAGTGCCCCCCTGCACCCCACGGCACCCCCCCCCACGGCACCCCCCCCACGGCACCCCCCCCACGGCACCCACCGCGCCCGCAGCCGGGCCCTGGCCGTGGGGGGCGGGGGGGCAGGGGGGGCCCAGGTGCAGGGGGCAGGTGTGGGGTGCCAGACAGGTGTAGGGGTGCCCAGGTGTGGGGTCCCAAAGGCGGGGGTGGGGGGGCGCAGCAGTGAGGTGCAGATGCTCAGGTGTGGGTGCAGGCGCCCACGTGTGGGGTGCAGAGCAGTGGGGCTCAGGTGCGCATGTGACACCTGGGGAAGGTCACGGCTGGTGGCAGCAGCCACCCTGGGGTGGCACCTGTGATGCAGGTGTGGTGTCGGAACAGGTGACAGGATCGGGGGGGAGGTGGGCAGCAGGTGACGGGGGCTGCCCAAGGTGTCCCTGAGAGAGGTGACGCGGTGACCCACGTGATGGGGCTGCCTGAGGCGCACCTGAGACAGGTGACAGAGTGACCGGGGTGACAGGAGCTACCTGGGGAAGATGCCAAAGTGTCCCTGATCCAGGTGACAGAGTGACCCAGGTGACAGGGGCTGCCCAAGCTTCACCTGAGACAGGTGACACAGTGACCCAGGTGCCAGGAGCTGCCCGGGGGGGTCCCCGATGCGCCCCCAGCACAGGTGACACGGGGTTACCCAGGTGACAAGAGGGTCCCTGGGGCAGGTGGCAGGACCCAGCACCCAGCAGGTGACACGGGGGTGCCCCAGGTGACAGGTGCCCCCGCCCGGCCCGGCTGCCCGTGCATCATCACCTGCATCGTCATCGCTGTCACCGGCCCGGCGCCTCATCCCCCCCATTCCAGCCCGGCTCCTTCGCCATTTCCGCTCCTTTTTACCCCATTTCCGCTGAGGGGGGAGGGGGAG